GCACTAAACGGGGCTGAGAGTAGATATACGGCGATGGAAAAGACAGCCTATGCGCTTTTCATCTCCGCAAAAAAGTTAACATCCTACTTCCAAGCTCACCCGGTAGAAGTCTTGACTGACCAACCGCTGGGTGCAGTGTTGCGAAATTCAACATCCTCCGGGAGGATGGTGAAGTGGGCGATGATGTTAACTCAATTCCACATTGAGTACCGGCCGAGGTTGGCAATTAAGGGACAGGCCCTTGCTGATTTCCTAGTAGAAATGACCGGTCTAACTCCAGACTTACCGGTCAACAAGCCCACTGAGCAATGGTGGGAAATGGCAGTTGATGGGGCATCTGGTCCTAGAGGATACGGGGGTGGTATCGTGTTCACCACCCCAGAAGGATTCAAGATCTACCATGCAATCGTCTTCAACTTCAAGCTGACGAACAATGAGGCAGAATATGAAGCTCTGGCTGGAGGGCTCAGACTTGCCCAAGCCTTGAAAATCAGCCGGGTCAGTATCAAATCTGACTCTAGCCTCATAGTAGGGCAGGTGACCGGTAACATGGAAGCAAGGGAAGGACGCATGGCACAATACAGGGACCTTGTGCTTGCCCTGTTGAAAGGCTTCGAAGAATTCAAGATCGCCCAAATTCCCCGGGCAGAGAACGCGGATGCAGACCTTCTCTCCAAATTGACGCAGTATGCTCCCAAGCATGTTTCGAAACTTGCCCGGGTAGAGATCCTTGACCGCGCAAGCATCGAGAAATTGGAAGTCGCCGCTATAACTGCCGGAAGCCAGTTTGACCGGTCAAACTTGGTCGGGGCGGACGACCATTGGATGTATAATCTAATGGAATATTTGACGGATGGAAGCTTGCCAGAACAAGATGACCGGGCAAGAAAAGTGAAGCTCAGGGCACCCCGATTCCAGATTCTTGATGGAAAGCTGTATAAAAGGGCATTTGGGGGGCCACTCCGGAGATGTCTAACCAACCGGGAGGCTGAGCGAGTCATAGCGGAAGTCCACGAAGGCGTATGCGCGGTGCATCAAATGTCCCGTATGCTCTCCCAGCGCATCATCTTGTTGGGATATTACTGGCCAACAATTGTCCAGGATTGTGAAAGGTACGTCCAGAAATGCAGGACGTGCCAAGTATTCTATAAGTATCCCGGTAGACCGGCGACCTACTACCACCCCGTATCGAATGTCATCCCATTCGCTAGATTCGGGGTTGATATCATTGGAGCCTTCCCAGTCGCCCAATGAGGGAAGAAGTTTGTAATCGTAGCCATCGATTACTTCACCAAGTGGATCGAGGCCGAAGCATTGGCCAGCATTACCACGCAACAATGCAAGAAATTCATTTGGAAGAACATCATCACGAGGTTTGGAGCGCCCATGAACCTCATCACCGACAACGGCCCACAATTCCGAAATCCAAGATTCACTGAATACTTGGAAAGCTTCGGGATCAAGCACAATCGTTCCTCGGTAGCGTACCCCCAAGGGAATGGCCAAGTCGAAAACGCCAACCGAACGATTGTGGATGGTCTAAAGAAACGGCTGGGAGAAGCAGGAAGCAAGTGGCTGGAAGAGCTCCCACACATCGTATGGGCATTCCGGGTAACACCCAGGAGGGCTCACGGGGAAACTCCATTCTCCCTAACCTATGGGTGTGAAGCAAGGCTGCCCATCGAAGCTGAATTCCCCACGTTTCGGGAGTCAAATTATCAACCCCAGCAGAATGAGGAAGATCACTTGGCCGAACTCAACTTGGTCGAAGAGCGGAGAATGGCCGCAGAAGTCAAAATGAGCACGTACCAACAAGTTGTGAAGAAGTACCATGATAACAAGGTCGGGCCGCGGTACTTCCAAGTCGGGGATGAAGTCCTACGAAGAAGAGAAGCAAGTAGACCCGGCGACGGGGGAAAGCTAGCAAAAAACTGGGAAGGCCCATATCGGGTTAGAGCCATCATTCGCCCAGGGACATACCGGTTAGAAACTCTTGAAGGGGTACCGGTAGAAAGAACCTGGAATTCCCATCATCTTCGCAAGTTCTACAAATGATTGTAATACTAGGCAAGGCCTACTTTATTATCAATCAAACCGATGATGTTGAATACTCTATTTGGTAGCGGCACGATTGATAGGTCGAACCTATCCTAGGAGGGCTTCCTGGGTGGATCGAATCCACTTGGCTAAGCCAACTGAGACACAGGCCCGGACCTGGCACGCTGGTTACTACACCGGTCTTGCTCAGTATAATAGAAAAAATATCAAAACCCGGAAGAGGGGCCCGGAAGAGGGTATGCCTGCAAGAGGGCTGGACCTGGAAGAGGGTTCGAACTGTACTTACACGGGCCCATGAGGTTTGACTGGTGTCGGGGAATCAGCCGGCGCCGTCAAATTGATTGGGGACTAAAAAGATGCCCATTAAAGAAATAGAAGGGGATCGTCCACCGTGGCGCATCCTATGTCCCCCTTCTCAGGGAAGACTTGAACGGGGGGGTGAGCTAAGGCCTTCCCGGGATGGTAGAAATCAAAGGGCCATTAAAAGACTTAATCACCCGGAAGAGGGGGCCCTGGAAGAAGGGTGCATCTGAACCTTGGAGAGGGTTCGAAACCATTCGACATGGTTAAATCTCCAGTATTCTTACCGGTTAAGGATACTTCAAGAATTTCTAGGTTACATGTGTTTCCATCTACAACCTACCGATAAAAAAAAATACCCCGGTCGCGTATGGGCACAACAGAACTTCGAAAGTTCTACATCCATCGAAAGGCAAGGCATTTGACCGGTCAAACCATGGAGTAGGAATTCACCGGTCAAAGTTTTTAAATTGGCCGAAAATGATGAAGATGTTCGAAAAGCAAAAAATGAAGTTTAACCGGTCAAAGTTTCTCGGACTGATCCTTGAAATGAAATGACCAGAGAAAACTTTGAAGTTATACCGGTCAAAGCTACTCGAGCTACCTTCAGATAAAGTGATCAAGGAGAACTTTGAAGTTTTCCCGGTCAGAAACAATTGAGAAGTGGTCTGATTGGGCTACCGGTCGGAATTTCTATGATCAAAAAAATAAATCAGACAAGCAATCAGACGTGGAAGATTAACCGGTATGAAAAGAAAACATGGCATTCAAACGAAGTAAGAATGTTAAATGTTTTACAACTACACCGGGCATCCCCGGGAAAATTTCAAGTTGAGGTTTTTTCAAAAACAACCGGGCACAACCGGGGGGCCTAGTCTAAGGGGAAGGGGGGAGTAGGCTCTTCCTCTGGGATTGGGGCCAGGCCATAGGATGCAGCGCTGAAGTTTGGATCTCTCCTGAGCAGCACCCGGTGAGAGGCGATCCTGTCCTTCTTTTGACCGCTCTTGAATCCAAAGGATCCAATCGCGGTAATCATCTTCTTTCCTTCAGGCTCCCGGTACAGAAGCCTGAAGGACTCCATCGTTGTCTCTGGAGTCGCCGTCATCACCCGGGCAGCAACGCCCTTGTTCTCTTCAACCCAGGCGACAACACGCCCGGGGAAGGTTTCTTCCTTCTCCGCTGCTTCCCTCTGGGCCTCAGAGACTTCATCCATTAGCCGGCCATTCTCCTCCTTTAGCTGTGAGATCTCGGTCTTCAGGGCCCCGGCTAGCTCGGACAGCCTGATCAACTCGTCAGCCTGGCTCTTCAAGATGAGGGCCATCTCCTCCTTCTCCTTCTTCAGCCGGGCAAACTCCGAGGGAGAGCCTAAACCAAGCCGGTCGGCTGTGAGGGGTCCAATCTCCCCTGCCTGCACAAAAGGGAAAAGAAGCCCGGTAAGAATGGAATAATAACAAAAAGGGACCAAGACCGGGATAGCAGCAGAACTTACCTCCTTCAGCCTCAGCCCCAGGTTGACGAAGTCCTCTTCGATGGTCTGGCCGGCCGGCTCAGGGTCTGACCTTGCCCTCTTCCTGGCGTAGGAAGGGTGTGTGGTGGCCACCTTCTTTACCCGGCGACCGGCCTTCTCCTTCTCCTTCCCCTTAGACCGGTCTTCTTGGGGCTCCTCTTCGTCAAGGATCTCCACGGTCTCGGGATTGACCGGGAAGGTCCTGGCAGTGTTGGTTTGAGAGCCCCCGGTCTCCCCCGCTGGTTGGTCCTCGGGGATAGCGAACTCTTCAAACTCCATATCTGCAAAACAAACTAAAAACATTAAGTACAAATAGTTTGCCCGGTCAAACTACGAAGCACAAGAAAGATGAGAAATACCTGGGTGGTTCTGGCCCTCAGCCTCTGCAGTGTTGCCCGGGGAGGGTACCCCGCGCCCCGCTGCTTCATGGGCCGGGGAGGTACCCTCACCACCCGAATCGACCCTCCAGACCCAGCTGCCATAGTGGAAGACCCTCCCGGTGTAAGGATCCCCGCGCATGAGGACTTCAAGACTCGCCTCCAAGTCAGGGGAGGAAGCCGGTGCAGCGTACTCTTGGTCAAGGAGATGGTCATTCCATTTCAGACCGGCGAGAGGAGTAAAGAAGGGGGGAAACTCGATGAAAACAAACTTTTCCTTCCATCCCCGGTTACTCTAGGGGACTTCGGAAATGAACTTCCTACCGGTGCGGGCTTTGAAGAATACAAAGCCTTCACAGCCAGCCCCGCCCGGTAGGACTTCGAAGCAAAAAAGGAAAAGACGCAAAGAAGGGAAGATTTTCAGATGGGTACAGATATTTACAAAGGAATGGAGGTACCGGTGGGCGTTGGGAGTTATTTGACCGGGCAAAATCCCAAACGCGTGGCATACTTCGGTTAGGAGGGGGCGAAGGGGAAAAACTATGCCCGCATCCAGGGAAATAGTATGGAACCCTATCCTATCCTCCCGGTGGGGTTCGACAATGTTGGGCCTGTTGGGCTCATACAGGAGGGTGTACCCATCCGGGAGCCTCCTACGAATTTTGTTCAAGGCGATTTTGGATACACGCGAAGGGATGTCAAGGACGTAGAAGGTGGGGAGTGGAAAGTAACCGGCAGCATGAAGCCGCTCCTCCCACGCATCCCGGGTTTCGTGTTCAGGATCATAGGGACCCGGTTCGTCATCGACCGGGTCATCCCTCCCCACGAAAGTTTCACCGGGCACCTGATTTACAGGATGTGGGTCGGGAATGGAGGAGTTGGGAACCTGACCGGGCGAAGAGTCAAGAGAAAAAGACCCGGTCGAGGAAGAGGAGTTGGAGTCCTCAGAGGAGCAGTCCTCTGAGGAGGAGATCCTATCACTATGATAAGACATGACCGGGAAGGTAGAGAAGGAAGGGGAGACTTACTTGGCTCGGAGGGCTGGATAGCGAAAGAGAAGGAACTTGACCGGTGAAAGCTCTGAGACTTGATCGCGGAAAATGAACAAAGGAGAGGGGTGGAGGCCTTTATATAGGCGAGGAAGAATTGAGCGAGGGCGACGTGGCTTCCTCTGGGCACGCCGCGTCAGGCGGCGCCATCATGACACCTGGGGAAGGCGGGCGGACGCAGAAGAGGCGCGTCCAGCGCGCGACACATGTCCAACAGATGCTTTTCAAATTCAAAATTTGAAATATTCTAGCGGGAAGTGGACAGAAATTCAAAATTTGAACCCATTTCCAGGATTTTTTACTTCCCGCTCATGACAAATTGCATGACCGAGTAGTGGAGGGCTTATTGATGGGTGTATTTCACCCAAGACCAGTCAAAGGAGAAGGCCAAATCTTTGACCGGTCAATCTCGAAAGTTTTGGAAGGGAGATTTAAATCGTCAGCAAAACGATATATCATCGGCCAAAATTTGACCGGTACACTTCACAAAAAAGTATACCGGTCAAACTACGTTATCATCCTATTTATTCCAGACTTCGATGAATTCACCTCTCGGAGATTACCCGGTGTAGTTTCTAGGGTTGGAAAGTGTCGGCAGAAGGGAATCTACGAGGGCTTGGCGTGTAGCGACCCGTGTCAGTAGAAGACAACTGGAGATGCTGAAGAATCCATCCAAGGCGCTACTCGACAAAGGGAATGATCCCCCTCACAAGGCGACAAGGCAGCTCGAGGACGAAACCAGTCACCTCGCACCACATCAGCAGCATGCCCCCACGTGGGCGCACATGGTCTTGTCCCCTTAGCCTAGTA